GCCGGACCTGTGACATCCACTTGATCCACACAACTCGCCCGTGCGTGGACCGACTATGAAGAGCCAATGTGGGAGAATCGACACTCTTATTATGTTCCAAGACACCGAAGGATGGAATAGTGCACTCTTCGGAAGGATTGAGCCAACGATTCGAGCTGCATTCGTCAACTATCTTCGTACGAAGGAAGTGATCACTGGCCCGAAGATGCCGACATGACTATCTTCTCGCTTCCTCGTCACCGAAGAATATTGGGAAACCCAGGATACCCCGGTCGCCTCCATCGACGAAGGAGCACAACCACGCCCGCAGCGATCCCTTTGCCCCTCTCACCACCTATTCAACCGCCTGTACAACCTGTCCAGCAGGCCACTCAATCCGTCACCCCAACCGCTTTTACAAACGCTCCGACGAGCTACACCTTCCCTCACCGCACAAGGATAGCTCCCCAGGTAACACCAGCTCCCCCTATTACCTACCCCAATTCAGTGGCGATTCCCCCAAGAGCCAAGTCAGATCCGCCACAATACACCCCATACCGCACATTGCCACCACGAGACGTGCCGAACACCCGACCAATGCCCAGACTCTCGCCCTCTTCGTCAAGATTTGGAATAAGGAAGATGCCTACTCAGGTCAACCTTACGATCTCCTTGACGATAAGATCAGGAACTTCTAACCACCTGCCGTTCGGTTGAAGTCCCCGAGAGTCAGCTACACGCCTTTCTCCCCGCGCCCTTACAGGTCGAGCAAAGACCTACTATGACCTTTATCTTGACCCAGACCTCACGTTCGCCGCCGCTTACCGACAACAAGCAACATTTCGATACCAACGTGAATCTGGAGCATTACCATACGGACTGGTCAACTATCACCTTCAACAGTGTCCGTGCAAGCACAGTGACAAGGACCTCCACGCTGTGCTTGATATAATGCTGACAAGCTCAATTGTGTCAACGAGCGATTGGGCCGGAAATAGCTGGCGAAAGCAACCTCCGCAACGCAGTCATCCGCGCTTGCCGTGGAACGCCTGAGCTCAAGCAAGCCTTGTACAAAGCCCCGCCCATTGCGAACAACTCTTTGCCGACCTCCGCGCCTCTATTGAACTTGCGATCACGGACAACGGTAGCACCCAATGGTATACCGACCGCAAGTATCAACAGAATAGACCCCCCTTCAGCAACAATAACAGCGCGAACCCCAAACGACAGCCGCAGAGAAAGAAGGCGTGCTTCATCTGCAGCAAAGCTGGCTGTTGGTCTACCAAGCATACCATAGAAGAACGGAAACAATCACGGATGTATTTCCTTAATGCCCACAATGCCTCCGACACGACCCGGACTTCGCCATGTTCCTCGCCGAATTCGAAGGCCATGAACTTGACGAGACCCCTGTCCCTGACTATGATACTGCCGATGAAATTGACGATGAAGACCCAGCGATTGGCTCGCTGTTCTTCACGCAATCATTCCTCGCAAATTACGCTGTTCTACACCGTCTGACTAAGGAAGATGCCTATAGCGCTCCTCAAAAGGCCCCGGCACAACAATTCCTTGTCGATGACCGTTACACAACGCGTTATCAGGGCATCATGCTCGACACAGGTGCTTCCACGTGTCAACCGCTGGCCTAGACCAATTCCATGCCTGGCAGCGCGAAGACCACTGCGCTACCCTCGATACCACCCGCGCAGGCCAGACAGGCATCTCCTTTGGAGATGGACCCCGGATTGTGTCTGTCGGTGCGACCGCGATTCGCACGGCATTCGGGCCCGTTGATTTCCACGTTCTTCCCACTAAGACCCGTTCCTCCTCTCCCTAGCCGATATGGACCGGCTGAGCTTGTTTCAACAATCAGACCAACGAAGTCGTCCGCGATGACATTCGCGTTCCCGCAGTACGTAAATGGGGCCACGCATGGTTCCATCTAGGTAAAGAAGAGACTGCGAGTATTCCTGACCGAACGCGAATTGCGACGACTTCACCGACGATTCGGTCACCCGGCCACAGCTAGACTCCACCGACTGCTTAGATGTGCCGGGCATGATGATATTGATGAGCAGTCAATCCGTGAGATCACGAGGATGTGCCACCACTGTCAAATCAACGGCACCTCCCCAACGCTTCAGGTTTACCCTTAGAGACGACCGCGAGTTCAATTTCGAGATAACCGCGGATGTAGTCCAAATAGGCGGAAAGCCTGTGCTACACGTGATCGACGAAGCCACAGCGTTCCAAGGCGCCAGGTTCCTCCCTCGATGACCGCCCGAGACACCTGGGAAACGCTACGGATGCTGTGGATAGACACCTACCAAGGCCCCCCGGACTTTATGCGCCACGATGCCGGCACTAACTTTGCAGCAGAGGAGTTCCAAAAGAGGCATCGCTGATGGGTATCACTTGCAGGCAGGTGCCTATCGAAGCCCAACTCGATTGGAAAGGTAGAAAAGGCACACGGCCCCCTCCGCCGCGCCTACGATATCCTCCAAGCAGAGTTGGGTGAGTCGAGAAGCCCAGATGCCCTCCTCCAAATGGCTGTAAAGGCAGTCAATGACACAGCCGGCCCGGATGGCCTTGTCCCTACCCTCCTCGTCTTCGGCGCATACCCACGAATCAACCACGATTCACCGCCCTCTCCCCCTATGATCAAGCGCGCAGAGGCTATTCGGAAAGCCATGGCAGCCCTGCACCGTGCTGCCGCTGCCCGTCAGGTTAGAGATGCCCTCAACACGAGGAATGGACCAAATGTGAGCGCGCTGCAGAGCTTCCCTGCAGAGCGAGGTCCTCGTGTGGAGAGGGCTGACGGCTGGACCGGCCCGTGGATCGTTATCGGCAATAACGGCCACGAAATAACAATCAATCATGTCAATGGCCCCGCAACTTCAGGATCACAGCGGTCAAGAAATACCACCGTGATCCTCAGGCCCCTCATCACAACCCCACGACGACTCGCAGCCGTCCCCGACGAGTCGACCCCAATGCACCTAACCCCGATCAAGATGATGCCCCTGTGCTCCTACCTGAACAACGCCGACGAGGACGCCCAAAGGCTCAAGAACAAGCCCAAGACCGGCGTAGCCAACCTGTCAAGAAGAAGTTAATCACTATGATCACGCTGTTCAATTGCGCCGCGAAGGCACATCACCACACCAGGTGCCCCCTTTGAACAGTCCGATACCCAAGAGATTAACAACCTAATCGCACAGGGTTTGTTTGAGTTCATTCGTTTCGACCCCGTGGCCCACAAGGCCAAAGACTCTTTAAAGCACGCATGGTCCGCGAAGTTAAAGGACTCGGACCAACCACAAGGCCCTACGAGAAATCCCGTCTCGTCATTCAAGGCTATAACGATCGTGATAAAGAATATCCTTACCCAGTCGCCGACCGTGCAACGGGCAGCACAGCGGCTACTCTCTCATTGCCCCTCCTCGCAGGTGAAGCCTCCGTCTTCCTGCGTGATATCACACAAGCATATATTCAGTCAAAACCCCTGAATCGTACGATACTCGCACGCCTCCCAGCGGAATTAGTGCCCGCTATCCCCAGACACCATCATCCATGTCATCCTTCCTGTATGGCATAGCAGAGTCAGGTCTCCATTGGTTCGTGACATATTATAGGCATCATCGTGAGCGCCTCGGTATGACACATTCCACCTTTGACCCCTGCTTGTTGATCTCCAATGATCAAGCCGCCGGCTTCGGCATGGTCGCTATGCAGACGGATGACACCCTCCTCCTCGCCTCCCCTGAGTTCGCGGCCGCAGAAGAAAGAGAGATCCAGAAGGCTAAGCTCCGCTCGAAACCAAGGAGCCAGCTATCGGCCGCGACTCCCCTCGAGTTTAATGGTTGCACACTTCTAGCCGAAAAGACGACCTTATCATCCAGCAGAAGGCCAAGGCCAGAAGTTAGCCACCATCTTTCTCTCCTCCACGGATCGCGCCCAGCAATACGCCCAACAGCGCGCGCGCGAGCATATATCGCATCAATCTGCCAGCCCGAGGCCACGTTCGACTACTCAGTCGCAGCACAAGTGCAGCAGCCGGAAGCCCCGGACTACAAGACCCTGAACAAGCGGATACAATGGCAGACCGACAACCTGCAACGAGGACTCGCTATGTTCCCTTGGCCTTTCGACTGCGAAGCTAATGGTATTCACGGACGGTTCGTTCGCGAACAACAAAGACCTAAGCTCACAACTGGGCTTTGTTATTGTGCTCGCCAACGAGGAACAGAGCCCTGCTGATTTCACGATCAGAGGCAATGTCCTGCACTGGTCATCTACGAAGAGCAAGCGAGTGACCCGGAGCGTGCTAGCCTCGAGATCGGATTGATATCATGGCGCTAAGGCAGTCCTACGAGCAGCGCGAGATGGCGAGATCCGTTGGATCAATGGGGATGACAACCCGGCTGATGCGATGACCAAAGCAGCACCCAACCGTGCTTTGGAACGGTTGATTGAGACGAACAGGCTGACGATTCGAGTGGAAGGATATGTACAACGACCCGTGACCGCAGACACCACCTAACGACAAACGACTCCATGATGACGAGCCTCCCTTCATTGAGACCGGAATGAAGGGCAGGCACGGCAGTCTTCGGATTCCATCACGAAAGAAAAGACTGCCTGTGTTGGAATACTAACCTGCTGAGTAACCCGTGCAATCGGGATACCATCACGGTTCATGCACGACTCCACGTGACACCCTACCCGCGATCAGGCACGCAGCCCCGGCTGCATGCCCCCATTACCAGTGCACATTCCGTTTCTTGTGAATAGCTTCCTCTTCCTAGTTAGTTACAATTGAAGTCATCACCGGTTACCCTACCTGTCGTGACTGTGACTCAGCCTACAGCTTGTGCGCATGCGTATCTGTAGGCACATAGGTGCCTACCATCAGTAGCGCTATATTTAAAGTAAAGAAGATATCTATTATCTACTTTATATATATCGTAGAGCGCGATAGCGACCTACCTCTTATTATTAAAGGAAATAATATTAAGCTAAAAAGTAATATAAAGCTCTCGCGAAGAGAGATACGAGAAGTATATAAAAATGCACGAAGGTAAAATTAAAAGTAAGGGGTCGGATAGGTAGGGCAGAGAGATTTAATTCTTACTAGGGCAGTAATAAAGGTAGGGGAGTAATTATTATATTGCCTTAATTCTCCTTCTTTCCTCTATCTAACGCCCCTCTTTATACCTATCTAGCATCTTAATTAATAAAGAAGATCCTACTTAAAGAAGCTACTAATATCCTTTTAACTACCGAGCTTTTTACTAGTTTTTCCCCTCCTTTCTAGCCGTTGCCGGTATATCCGTCTTATCTCTCGCTACCTCTATAGGAAGCTATCGCTACTTCTACTTCCCCTCTTGCCCCCACCCTCCTCTCTGCACCTCCTTTTAGCTCCTTCCTTAAAACCTATTTTTTAGCTTCCTAGGTCCCTTATACTAAGGGATATCTCCGAGAACTACGAAATCAGGCCTCGCTTCGCGACATACCCCCTTAGCTATAGCCTGCCCTTATAGAAAGGGTAAAGCTAAATACCTAGGCCGGTAAGCGTATAGAGGAGGTTTAAGGCGGGCTTCTAAGGATAGCTTCTCTCGAACGTCTTCTAGCCTAATTTACTATAAAAAGACAGCTAGCTTCTACTTTAGCAGGGGCTTTATTAGACCGTCGGCTTTTATTAATGCCGTTAGAACCTAACGGACGGAAATAAGTCCCCTTTAGACCTCTTAGCGTAACTAATACTAGTAAATATCGATATACCGTAGCCGGGTCGATAACTTACTATTTTCCGTAAGAATTCGTATAGTCTACGTATTATCGCATTCTATAGCTAATAGGGTCGGAATTTATAGTCGTAGAGATATTAGTAGCCGGCTAAGGAAAATCGCTTCTTTTAACGCTTCTAAGAGAGCTAGTAGCTCTGCCTCTATACTAGAAGTCGTAACGGTAGCTTGCTTCGAAGCTCTCTAAGCAATGGTTCCTTTAAAAAGGGATATAATATACCCTTATAAGCTCTTTCTATCTAAGGAATTATCCGTAAAGGACGAATCGCTCGAATAAAGGAAGATTTCGGCAGCTTATTTCCTTCCCTGCCCTCCTAGGCGTAGACTATATAATCTCGTTAAATAGAGATAAAGGATAGCTCTATCTACTACTTCTTAATGCCTAGGGCTAGGATTCTAGTTATACCTAGCTAGCCGGGAGACCGTAAAAGAGATATCTAGTCTAGTAGAAATAGCTAAAAAAAGCAGGGAGCCTACCTTCTATTAATATTAGTGTTTCTCTTGCTCCCTAGCTTAAAAGGACGGATTAGGTAAAAGCTCTTTATCTAATATAGGCGTAGGGGGAAGCTTCTTATCAAGGGAATTAAGGAGGAATTTATAAGCGACCTTATTAATATAGGCGTCTTAGGTAAGCTAGATAGTCCGTTAGGACCTATTCTAAAGGATTTATATCCCTAGGAACCACTTTAGCTCCCCTAGCCTAGTTATCTTATACCTTTATTATAGGCCTCGTATAGCCTCCCTAGTAGTAGCCTCTTCCTCTTTTAGGTAGGCCTAGATAATATCGTCGACGTAGAAGAAGACCGTGATTTTACCCTTCTATATTATACACGGTTCCTAAGGGACTTTCGTAAAGCCTAGGGCTTCGAGGGAACCTATTAAATGCTATTGCTAAAGAAGGGGTAATCTTCGTAGTCCGTATAGAGCTTTCCTAAGCCGTAGAACCTTTCCTAGTTATTAGAAACTAGGAGGAAGTCGTATATAGATAACTTCTTCTTCCTTAAGAGGGCAGTTAACGAAGGCGTTAACTATATCTATCTAATCGAGCTCGAGGTCGAATTCTGCTACTATTGCTATAAGGGTCTAAAAAGACATCCCTGCTAGGGTAGTTGCCCTAGTAGGTAAATCCCCCTTTTCCTATTAATTCCTATAGATAACTAGCCGGGCTTTATACTTTTAAAGGAAGCTGTGTTTATTAGTCTTATAAATAAAGACCTACTTATAGCTAAGGACCTATTTTCCTCTTACCTTTTCCTTAAGGACCTCTTCGAAAGACCCTATCTCCTCGTGTAAGGCTAGGTAGTCTTTCTAGGCCTAGAAAAACTAGTCTCTAAAGGGGTGTTTTTCTAGCTGCTTTTAGTTTGCTAGTAGGTCCGGGAGGTCTCTTTTATATACCTTCCTTGCTAATAACTATGGCTTAAAGAGCCGGCCTGCTATAAACGCTCCGTGGGAACCGTCTTTTATTAGCGTTAGGTAGAAGTCGGAAAAACGATCGAAATAGGGGAAAGGTTAGTCTTCTTTCGTATCGGGCCCTATACCTTCCTTTGCTTCTCGAAGCAGGGACAAAAAGGCAGCCGGGTAATCCTTCGAGAGAGGTGCCTTTCCTACCCCCTTAGGGGCCGAGACGGGAAGACTAACTAAAAAAGCTACTTCTAGATCTTCTTCTTATTCCGTAAGAAGAGGCATAGGGAGGTAGGCGTATTCTAGCTCTATCGCTTTCCTATAGTTTCCTTCTTCGTCTAGATTATCTAATCTAGCAGCTTCCTCTTCGAAGTCGGCGTTATCCTCGACTACTTCGACGTCGGTTTCTTCTTCCGTTTCTTCGTCTAGGACCTCTTCTTAAGACTATTAGGAAGGGGGGATTTAAATCTTTTAAATTAGCTAACGTTAAGAGAGTAAGAGGGGCTATTAATCCCTCTTTCCGTCGAAAAAGCTAGATTCGTCGAAAATCATATCCTTAGTCGAAATAACCTTTCGTAGAAGAGGAATCTAGATCCGGAAGATATTCGTAAATTATACCTAACGAGGTAACTAATAAAGGCTCTAGATTAAGCTTTCTTTTCTTCTTCCTTTTAGCTATGCATCGGTAGTTATAGCGTATACCTTATAGCTATAGGCGAAGGTGGCTAGCGAGGCCCTCTTCTTCGTAAAGAGCTCGAGGGGGATTTCTAGTCTATTCCTTAGGTCTTAAAAGGGTCTCTAGGTCCTATAGTCCTTAGTCCCTAGGGTCCCTTAGGGTCCGGTTCCGAAGGTAATAGGCGGTCTTAATAACTTCCTCTAAAGGTCGTATAGAAGCTTTATAGTAAGTC